GTTCATGGTGTCTGACAGGATGGTTTCCTTCGTATGGCACACGAGATTGCCAGTCGACATAGCCTGGCCCATGCAGTTGGTAGCCACGCAGGTGTAGGTACCAGAGTCCTCGGCGTAGCAGTACATGATGTCCAAAGCAACGAAGCCGAAGTCGTTGTACTCGGTGAAGCGAGAACCACTTTTCACGGGGACGTTGTTATGGAACCACTCCACCTTCATGGTCGGGTCGGAGGTGGGGATGAGCTTCAGTTCGAAGTGGGCGCGCTGGCCCTCAAGGATCTCGATATTCTTCAGGGACGTGGTGAAGACGGGAGCCTGCTTGGTGGTCTCCTCGACCTGCTCAGTGCGGGAGTATTTGCTGCGGTCTTCCAGCATCTGCAGCTGCTCCATCGTCATGGTCTGGTTCTGGGACTCCATCACGATGCTCGCAGAATCTTCGGGAAAAACATTGATATTAGATTATGTTTACATAAATATTGAAATATATTTTCTCACTTTAATCGAAATTAATATGCGGAAAGAATAGTATTAGTTATACTGAGAGTATGAAATAAGTTAATAATTTAAGATAGTACAACTGTATTTTTTCCATGCAGAGTTTCTTTGTTTTTATATATTGTGCAGTTATCCGTAGTTAGTGCTATCAGCGGAGAAAAATTCGCGTTTTATTAGATATTATTATTTTTCGACTATAGCTTCATTTCCGTTGTTTGTTTGCAGAAGCGAGAGTAAATTTTGGTATTAAATACTTCTAGTAAAGTGGTTAAATATTTCGATTCCGATAACAAGCTTCTATGTTCTTGATTTTTTGTCTCAAGAAGGGTGAAAATATATATGTTGAAGAAAAAATATTCCATTAAAAAATATATGGAATAATGTGCAGCAAAAAAAGTCTTGTTATTATTAATATACGTTTAACCTGAAAAGAGGCAGAGGATAAAAGTTGTTAGGAAATCTACAAGCGGTTGCGTTGAGCCACGAGAGCGGCGAGCAGAGAGGAGCAGCAGCAGGCGATAGAGTGTAGAACCAGTCGTCCTCTAGCCATATCCCGAACTATAACAGCTACTCACTCAAAACCTTAAGGTCGGCCGTGATCTCATCTTTGCCCATCAAGTTGGTTGCCACGCAAGTGTATGTGCCGGAGTCCTCCTCGATCACGCGCGATATATCTAAAGCCACGTAGCCAAAGTCGTGGATCAGGCGGAAACGCGAGCCAAGCTGGATCGGCATTCCGTTCCTGTACCAGTCAATCCTGAGGTTCGGGTCGGTGATGGGTTCGATCTTGGCCTCGAAGTGCGCATTCATGCCCTCCTTCAGCGTCACGCTCTTTAGTTGGGTGAGGAAACGGGGCTTGATTTTCACGGAAACTTCCTCCATGGTTTCTCGCCTTTGGTACCGTGAACTATCATCGAGGTACTGAAGTTTCTGCAGACTATCTGGGTGCTCTGAGTCGAACACTAGATCCTTCTTGGCTAAAGGGGAAGGGATCAAGGTCAGGTAGGATATGGTAAAAAGAGAGTAACAGGTGCAACTAGATCAGACTAAACTACTGGGTGGGCTGAAGGATCACAACTCCTAAACATGACGGAGTTGGTCATAGCAAGGAGACTACATACGAGAATGAAGTAACACTAACACCAGGTAGGATATCGCAAACAGGTTTGAAAACCAATTCTTTTTTTCATGAAAGACTCATACAAACCAAGCCTGACACTCAAACTTAAAATATTTACATTTCAAAATATATAATCTGAATAAATCTAGAACTCAAATGGGAGAACACTAATAACTTGGGAATATCACTCAGGCATGCATGACGATTGAAAGATTTATATTTCCTTACCCGTGACTTTGACCGAAGCTGAGGTGACAGCCTGTCCGAGTTTGTTAGTAGCCCTGCAAGTATAAATGCCGGAGTCTATAGGATACACACTCAGAAGATCCAGGGCTACATAGTCGAAATCATATGCAGGCCTGAAACGATGTCCAACTTTAAGTGGTTCATCATTGAAGAACCAGTCGATCCTCATAGATGAGTCTCCTACAGGCTTCAGACGGGCCTCAAGATGAATGTTGGTGCCTTCAATGGTTTCAATATTCTTCAGGGACTTGACGAATGTGGGGGCTTCATTGATCTCTGTTTGCTCATGCATGGAGCGCTGATGGCGCGAAGCATCTTCCAGGTAATGGATCTGCTCCATGGCGTTGTCGTGCATGGATTCAGAGAGAACGTCGCTGGTACCAATGACGCGAACACATGATGAAGTGTGTGCGCTGCCAAGCATGTTTTCGGCGCGACAGGTGTACTCGCCGGAGTCAGTGGTGTAAGCTCCGATGATATCGAGAGCAACGAAGCCAAAATCGAAGTAGGTCTTGAAGCGGGAACCAATGGTGATGGGCTTTCCATTGAAGAACCACTCGACCTTCATGGTTGGGTCGTTCATGGGTTCCAAACGAGCTTCCAGGTGGACATTCTTACCCTCTGGCAAGGGCTTGGGATCAGACAGAAGCTGTGTGAATTCAGGCTTGGACCTTGAAATCTCCTCAATGTCATACTGAGGCTCCTGATGACGACGTTCCATCGCACTGGTCTTGCTCAGTGTCACCTCGTGCATAGAAGTTGTGTCGATGGCCGAGCGTGCTGGAATAATCATGGACAATTAAGAAAAGAAATTAACAACATATTGATGGCTTACTACAGCTAAATAAGGAAATACAAAACAAAATTACTGAATTACTCACTCTCAACGGTCATGATGCTGGACATCTGTGCCTGGCCGAGAGCATTGCGAGCCAAGACAGTGTACTGACCAGCATCAGACTGACGGACGTCAGAAATGTCAAGTGACACGTAGCCGAAGTCGTGGTAAGTCTTGATGCGAGAAGCAGACATGATCACCTGTCCATTGAAATACCACTCAACGGTCATGGTTGGGTCACTCTGGGGCTCAAGGCGGATCTCGAAGTGAGCCTTCTGTCCCTCAACAATCTTGTTGGTTCCCTTGAGGGGACCCAAGAATTTGGGGGGTATTGTGACTGCGGATGTCTCCTCAGTCTCTGTCTTCTGGTAGCGGGTGGAATCCTCCAAGTATTGCATCTTAGCGACCGTTTCCTGGTACTGAGTCTCTACTTCAGTGTCAGTCTTGGAGAGGACAGTGAGCTGAGCAGTGACCTGAGCCTCGCCCTTGCTGTTTTTGGCAACGCAGGTGTAGGTGCCTGCGTCCTGGATAATAAGGGCCTTCACAGTCAAGGCAACATAGCCAAAATTGAAGAAAGATGTAATACGAGAACCTGAAAGAGAAAGTAGTTATCTTTATTAGTATGCTAAGCAAACTTACATGACACTATACTATCAATTTAATTCATAACGCGATGTCTGATAATAAAAGAGAATTATATACTCACTTGCTTCAATGGGTCGTCCGTCCTTCAGCCACTCGACTTTGAGGTTAGGATCACCAATGGGCTCCAAGCGGGCCTCGAAGTGGGCATAGCCGCCCTCCCGAGCCGTGGCGTCCTTGAGCTCTGTCTTGAATACGGGAGCAGTAGTAGCCTCCGCGATTTCCTGAGCAGTTCTCTGTTGCATTTGGAGCCTGCAGCAAAATAATTGCATAAATAAGAGGTAACAATTAATTGATTAAGTGACGATAACAAGTTATAACGTACGTGATGTTACATCTGAGGAATCCTTTACCTGTAAGCTTCCATCTCCTCAACACTCCTGATATGCTGAGCTTGTTCGGGGATGCCAAGGTCTCCTGTGACGCTGGACAGAGCTGAAATTAATCCACCGATTAATCATCTTGGCACAGAAATCCCCACTGAAACAATACTATCTTCCGTTGGAAAATATTATTAATCATACTACATTTACCAACATTCTAGGTAAATACGAATATCCTATAATGGTTTTCCAAATACTCACTGATGACTTGAATGGAAGCCTGGCACTGGCACTCTCCTGCCTTGTTCGTGGCACGCACGGTATAGGTGCCGCTGTCCTCGGGACGAAGGTGCATGATGTTAAGAGCCACATAACCGAAGTTGTAGATTACATTGATGCGAGAACCTGTTGAAGGGAAAGGTTTATATATTATATTAATAGAATCATAAGCAACTGGTAAATAACCATAACATGTACAACATTTCCCCTATCAAAATATTTGGAAAAATCACTGAATGCAAAGATAAACAGATAGACTCTCTTGCTTACTGGCAGTGATGGGTTTTCCATCCTTGAACCATTCGATCCTCATGAAGGGGTCGCTGACGGGGTGAAGTTGAGCCTCGAAGTGAGCATACTTTCCCTCCATGACTTCGCCCAGGTTGGCGAGAGGCTTGACGAAGGAGGGCTTGATCGTGGAAGATTCCTCGATGGAGACGGTGCGCTGGTACCTGGACTGGTCCTCCAGGTAGCTGATCTGCTGCAGCGCCTCGGGGTGCTGAGTCTGGCTTTCAATCAGGGGGCGCTCTGTGATGGCGGGAGGGAGGAGGTATTAATAAAGATTCCCTGTTTATCAGAACCTATCATGCGCAATAAAACAGTATGTGTATTGACATTTAATCGAATCCCTACCTGTAATCCTAAGGTTAGCGGAAGTCTCGGCCTGCCCCTTGGCATTGGTGGCACGGCAGGTGTACACGCCAGCGTCGGCCTTGATCACGTTGAGGATGTCAAGGGCCACGAAACCGAAGCGGTAAGTGACAGTCGCTCGGGAGCCTGAGGGGAGGTATTCGGTATTTAGACGCCGTTTGCATAATCAACAGATAGGCAGTTTCTATACATTGTACATTTGTCATGCGTTTCTGAATTTACAGAGGGAACTGATTTTCTGAGGGTACTGATCAATTTCTCTCTCTCTCTCTCTCTCTCTCTCTCTCTTTCACACGCACACACACACACACACACACACACACACACACACACACACACACACACACACACACACACACACACACACACACACACACACACACATATATATAAATATACATACATATATACATATACATACATATATACATATACATATACATACACACACATACACATATATATGTATATACATATAAATACAAATACATACACACACATATATATACAAATACATACACACACATATATATACATATACATATATAATTATATGTAGTATGCATATACATAATATTTCCAGGTATACAAAAGAAAATATATGGCAGCTCATTTCTTGATCCGAAGAAGAGCTCTCGTACTTACTGGCAGCAAGGGGCTTGCCGTCAATGAGCCACTCAATGTTCATGGTGGCGTCGCCGACGGGGGTCACCTTGGCCTCGAAGTGGGCGCGGGTGCCCTCGACGATGTCGATATCCCTCAGGGGATGGGTGAACTTGGGGGGTTCAACGGGCTGCTCCTCCTCGGGGGCCTTAGGCACGTGGTGGGCCCTCTCGACGGGGCGCAGCATGATCACCTCAGGTTCGGGTTCGGGTCTGTTGGAAGGGAAGAAGGTTGTGGATCACGGAGAAGTGGCACATGAAGCAGCGCGCGCAATACATTCAAAATATTCAAGGAAAGCGTTTTCGGTAAAATCATTCAGCTCTTATTACTGGACGTGATATGTGTAACCTCTTAGCCTTGTCAGCATTATTACATTCTACTGTTTTATCTAGAAAGATACAAGTGGTACATACTCAGGTTCGATGAATTTGACGGGCCTCGGGAAGTGGGGCCTCTGAGGTTGGGCGGGGCCGGAAGGCTTGGTGGACTGCACGTGGAGACGGGCGCGGGTGGCCGCGGAGCCGGCGGAGTTCTGAGCGTTGCACTGATACCAGCCGGCATCAGAAGCGCTGGCGCTCAGGATCTGCAGTGTCGATGCGCCGTTCTGGTCACTCTGAACCTGAAGGAGATTTGACAAGTACTGTTAGGTCCTTGCCCCATGCGACACCATGGAAATTTCCTAGTCCTCTCATTCCTTGATGTACTGTCTATTAACGCTTTAAGCAAAATTAGAATAATTAGAATTGATAAAGTTAAAACGACTGAACTAACCATGACATTAGGGTTATTCTCAACGGAGACTCCGTCCTTCTGCCATGTGAGGAAGGGCATGGGAGTGCCGACGGCACGGCACTGAAGAACAACCGTCTCTCCCTCGGCCACGGCGCCCTGTTGGAATCTCTCCACGAATTTGGGGGCAACCATCTGCTGCATCTCCAGCACATTAAGCTGGCACTGTGGAAGAAAGAAGGATTTTATCGAAGGTCTGGCCAAAGTGAGTACAGATACACAAATATCGGTTCACAAAACAATAATTTTCGAAGTGGGCGTCATGTGCGCTTCTTACCTGGAAGTTAGCTTCGCCAGACTTGTTCTTGGCGACGCAGGTGATGACGCCGGCATCGCTAAGGGAAGCCTTGCTGATCATGAGGGAGTGATTACCTGCCTCGTTAACTAAAACCTTGTGGGTGGCATCGTCTACTACCAGCTGGCCATTGATGTACCAAGTGACCTGTGTTGCAATACGAGAAGCAACTGTTAGTGGCCGAATACGAGTCATATTTTACCACCTACAAGCATGTATTTTACAGTAATAATATGTTTGTTTCAACAACAACAGCAGCATACAAATATAGCCACATGCGGAACAATGAATGGAGTTTGACTTAGCATATTCCTTTCACTGGAACCTTACCTCAGGATAGGGCCTGCCGGAGCAGCGGGCGTCGAAGCGCACCATTTTGCCCTCCTGGACTTCGCGGTCAGCGGGGCCCCGGACGAACTTGGGTTCCAAGGACTTGCCGCTTTCCTCTCCGGTGTCCACCTCCATTTGCTGTTGAGCCTGCTGCTGCTCACTGCACGAGGAGGAAGAAACGTCATATTTACTCTATTAGCAATGTGAATTATGTCTAAGTTCAGGTAGTAATAAAGTAATGATAAATTAGTTTCGCTCACAATTACTTTTCGTAATCGAACTTACATCCGTTCAGGACGGATAACTTCAGGAGATGGGGCACCGTTGGTGACCTCGCCCCGGGGCACCACAGCTAGCTGAGCGGAAGCCACGGTGCACCCAGAGGAGTTCTCGGCCAGCATTGTGTAGTAGCCGCTGTCCTGTGAGTTCACCTGCTTCACCACCAGGGTCACCTGGCCGGCGGACTGAGTCATCAGGTATTTGTCGCTTTGCTGAAGACCGACGCCGTTCTTAAACCAGATAACCTACGGAAGAAACGGGCGATGAATGTGCTGGACTTGGGTAAAATGCAAGGAAAGAAAAAGTCGAGCTTTCAGTGATCTCAGCAGTGAGGGTTAGAGCGTAATAACAGTCTTACCCTGGGAGTCGGGTAGCCGTTAACGTTGACGGTGAAGGTGGCGTTGCCTCCGTCGGAGACCTTAGTGGAACGTGGCTTCTGCTGGAGCTGAGGAGCCTGAGGAGGACCCTGGATAGCGCCAAGGTCCACCTCCAGCTCTCCAGCCACGGTGATTGTCAGAGAGCGACGGAACTCCACTTCATGAAGCAGTCT